GACAAGGATGTCATGTGGGACCGTGTCAAACAAGTCCAGGAATCACACGGTTGCAGGGAAAAAAAAATCCAAAAACCTCCCTGAATTTCCAGTTGTCTCAGAGATCGAGCTGACGACGAGAAGATCCCTGGATCTTCTTTTAAATGAGCAGCCTCGTGGCATAAAGAGGGAGGAAAAGAGAGTGTGATATGCCATGTGTGCCCACGTTTGGGGTGGGCGTCGCGGGTTAATTTGTAAGCGACCCCATTCGCAAACTTGCCGGATTGACAAAACTTAACCAGAGGGGACTAAAAATAGCCTTCCCGTGGACTTTGCTGCTGCTTAAGTGAAGGGGAACGAGGTGTGATGTTGTTATTTTTAGGCTGAAGCGAGGATGTCAAGGTTCTTCGGGCGATGAGGATGGTCACCGAGCCCGTTTGACCCCCCCGGGATCGGCGTCTGAACATGAAATGAGAGCATGAGCCGGGCTTAAAGAGGAGGAGGAGGAAGAGCGCAGACCTTGTGCCTTAATTTCGGGCTTGGTGCTGGCAGACCCTTCTCTGAGGAGCTGGAGACGGCGTCGGGGCGGCCACTGTCCCCAGAGAGGGGGGACCAGGGAGAGGTGGAAGCCAGTGGGCAGCTGAGGTTACGGCCGTGGGGCCGGAGCAGGGTTTAGAGCCCTGGGTTCGCCCCAAGCCGCCCGCAGCCAACGTTAGCAGATATTTGTGGGTTTTTTTCCGCAGGGCGAGCTTTGGGGGGCCTGGTGATCGGTGGAGGAGGAGAAAGCCACCTCGCAGCCCGAGCCGGGGCGTTTTGGAATGTTCCTCTGGCTGCTCTCGGGAGAGGTTTCCCTTCGGGTGGCTCCGAGGAGCCCAGAGATGCCTCAGCCACCCTGGCTGCTCTCTCTTAAGACAATATTTAGCAAAAATGGGCTTTAAAGAGTCTGTCACTGGACTATCCCACCTGCTTTGGCAGCAAGAAAACGCTGAAGTTGCCCCTTCTGCCCTGCAAAACTGCCTTTTGCCAACTGCCAGGAGCTCAGGAAGGGGCAATATTGGATTTATCCTCTCCCTTCTCCACCTTATTTGCTGCTGGGGGATTGTTTTTTATGCTTGTCGAGGTGCCCGTCAGCCGGTGAATCTCCTCGGGAGGAGGTTCTATGTCCTGGGGTGGTTCGTCCTGCTGCAGCCTGGTCCTCGGATATCGGGGACGGTGGTTGCAGCGAATCTCCCTCCCCTGTGCCGGAGTTTGTCTGAGCTCAGCTCCTCGTGGATCTTCTCTTTTCCAAGGAAAAGGCTTTGCCAGGATCTGGTTGTAGTCACGAGCAGCTGATGCTCAACACTGCAAGGCTCGACGGATGATCTCGCTGCTGAAAATCCCCAAAGGGGAGGAGAAAAAATAAGAAAAAACACCGAGCCATCATCTGGGAGCTGGGGAGAGGAGCACAAACTGGAAGGAAAATGGGCAGAGCGAGGGGAATTTCCTGAAGCGGTCAGAAGAGGAGAGGAGATGCTCGGAGGAGCAGGACCCGGCAGCGTTACGGATTTTTAGGGTGGGACCGAGGGTGAGTAAGGAGGGAGGTGACTTTTCCAGCTCTCCTCCACTTCCCCGAATAGGCAGTGATACTCGCACTAAAAAATCCCCGTTTCCCCAGCTGGGGAATGTGTTATTCCCCGGCCGGGGAGCTGCAACGCTCCAAGCTCTGCGCTGACACCGGAGACCGATGGAGAAGCACACGCTGGAAACATCCAGCATCCTCTGGAATGAGAGCAGCAGGCTCTGAGCATCTGGAAAGCCCTTTCCAAATTCTGCGCTTCTCTCAGCCGCATCGGACTTCCCTTCTCTCCCGTTTCCACGTGCTGGAGGAGATGCACGCCGGCCGGCCCGCCC